TTTTTTTTTTTTTTTTTTTTTTAAATAATAAATATTGTGTTTGGTTTAAAGGAAATTATTAATATTAATATTTGTTATATAATTTCCCTTTCATCCATTGTTTTTTTCGTACGTTTAATTAATTTTCTAAAGCCCCCAAAGAAAAAGTTAAATCTATGAAAAAGACGATTTTGATTTAAATTCCTATTTTGCTTTCTCATCCTCTTCGATCGTGCACTCGTGTTCCCTCTCATGTGACGACCCTCGTGAAGATGTCTTCCATATTTAAATTTTTGAAAATATATTTCTAAAAAAATATTTATTCACGCTATTAATGGGAATGATTGTTTAGGTCATCATTTAAAAAATAATAATAAAAAAAAACCTTGAGCATCCAAAAAGATTGATGATGTGTGACCCCGACGTTGACCAAGCATACATTGGCCGGGAGCGAAACTCCTTTTGGATGTTGGTTGCTGATCATACGTATCGAAATCATCAAATTTAAACCTCCCTCACAAACGTTGAAAAATATCGCCCGTCACTCAGTATTTCACACCAAATTACGATTTTGGAATTAGAATGGTAATTAAATCAATGGCCCACTAGAGCAGAAAAAGCCCATATTAATCAAATCTAGCCCAAGAAGCTCGTTGACTTATTACGACAAACCATTCATTTTAAATTTATCATTTCACGTCTCGTAATAAAATAAGTATATGGCGATATAGCCTTAAGGGGAAGCCCGAAAGGGAAAACCCAAAAAGAACAATATCTGCTAGCGGTAAATCTGGGTCGTTACAATATATCTCTTTGACGTTTAAATATTATTTAAGCGTGTTAATAATGAGAAATAAAAATAGAATTGAAATTGAAGGTATGTTCTCATTGATATTCATAAACTTTAATAAGATACAAGCTAGTAACTAATAACTACCCGAAAATATAAATTAATTAAATATTAAAAATATATATGAAGGAAAGAATATTAAAATATATTCCATAAATAATATATTCTCTAAATATTATATTTCTTTGGTCTCTTTTAATTTTAAAATATTTTATTTTAATTATCAATATTTACATACAAAAATATATTATTATCTAAATATAATATAATAAATAAAAAAGTTATGAGAACAATACGATATTCTTTATTGGGATTTAAAGATAATGGAATTGAGATTTGAGGAAAATGCAAAATCGTACGTTATTGAAAAATCTGTCATTTTTTATTAAAAAAAAATGGTGTGGTGTGAGGGAACACTGATTATGAAGACAACGGCTCCAAAAGCATGCACAAGAAACGGCACGTGTGAATTACACGTACACTCCCACCAAAATCTGCCCACGCGTGCGACTTCGGACTTCATTCACCGTATTCCGTTGAACTTCCACTTTCCCTCCCACGTCATTCCCACGCGGCTCCACGTTGGGCTGGATTCTTTAATGGGCCCACGGCCCATTAGTTCCACTTCTCGTTTCCTACGGTCCCACGCTTCCTATTTATTAATTTAATAAAAAAAAATACACCTAATTTTTATATTTTATATTTTATCTAGAAAATAGGATAAACTTTCCAAAAATAAAAATAAAAAACTTCAAAAATACCTTTAAATTATTTTAACTTTTACAACCATGTTTTAAAAATATAGAGAGATAAATAAATTTTCATATTATTTATATTTGTTTTAAAAAAGAGAATTAATATAAATAAATATATTACAAAAACGGCACTAACTTAAAATTCACTTTAATATAAATAAATATACATACACGCAGAGAAACATACAGAAACGGCACTAACTTAAAGACAGAGCTCCAGAAGAATCCGGAATACACCGTAAAGGTTTCTGTTCTTCAACCTCCACCAACGCCGCCGCACACGGCGGACATGCCATTGCTATAAACCTTGGAACCTCGTCGCCGGGCATCAAAACCGACAAGCTCTGCGCCGGATTCTCCTTCCATGTCTTCTAATACCCAAAATATAAAGAAAATCAAACAATTCTCAGATTTATAAGTGATTTTTTTCAATTTCGCCATAAATTATTAAATTACATAAATCTTTTTTTTTGAAGTAGAAGGAACAAAACGCGCCGTATGGAGCGGGGAAATTTTGTCGGGCGGCGAGAAGGTGGTGTTTACCGGCGGAAGAGGAGGATAGCGGTGGCCGAGAAGTGATCGGAGCTTTTCCCAGTGAAGGCAACAATAATAAAAACAACACATGCAGAGCAAAAATGTGAACAAAAGAACCAAACCAACCGGAAGGCTCAGAGGGACAGGATCCTGTGCTTCGCCGTAATCATACTCCATTTTTTAAGCTCTCCAGTTTTCTGTGCAGAATTTGTTGATGAGGAGCGGCGACAGTTAAATTTATGGACGAAAATATTTATTTAATTAAATTCTAAAAATAAAAACATGTTTTAAAATAATATATATTAAAAATAAATATTAAAACAAGAAAAGGCATCGTGTGAGTAGTATTCACATATTAAATAAATAAAAAAAAGGGACATTAATTATTCTTAATTATTCCAAAGTTTAATTTATAATAAATATTTGAGACAAAATTCTTGCTACTAATGATGATGCTCCCAGTTGAAATGAAAGCTTTATTAATTTATTTATTTTTAAATAAAGGAAAGAATAAAATTATTATTAAAATGTTCATATTTCTCCGTCCCCACCCTTAATATAAAAATACTTGTAATTAATTTTATGGTGATCGGAGCGAGAATTTCGTACGAAATTTATAGGGATCGAGTCCTTCATAAAAATATTATGCATTTATGATTTTTTGTGTTTACAGTAATTTTATAATTAAAAATTTATTTTCTAATGAGACAATTCTATTTAAAGAGAGAGTTTTCAATATCCTTAGAAAAACATTATTCTTTATTTATTTTTTTTCTCCTTAATTTACAGGTCATTTTTCATATATCAAACCATGCAAATAAATAAATAAGATAATCTAAAATAATCCTCGTATTATGATTGGAAGAATGTCGGATTTGGGTCTGGATTATATGACGTGGCACTCAAGGATGTCTAATGACGTGGCATGCTATTCTCGTCTCGTCGGATTACACACGACACGTCATAACAGCACCGCAATTTTTGGATTATGGGTTTCGTACTTTTGCATAAACTTCAAATCTATTTAAAATTCTATAATAATTATCTTTTAATTTTCACAAATTTATCAATCAATTAAATTTAATAGTTTTAAAAGTGAAAAATAAAATTTTAAAATGGTTATATTATAAGAGACTAAATTTAAATTAATCTTCAAAAAAAAAAAAAAATCCAAGGCGTCGCAACCCTGGTCTCATGGGCCTGAAATGCTTAATGGGCTTATGGCCCAAATTCGGTACCGCAGGACTGAGAAATCGGCCCGCTTCAGCCATGAATGTTAAAAAACTTTCACAATAAATTTTAAATACTCTACCTTAATTAATTCCTTACTCCGGACTCACGGTAGGGTTCGATTCTAAGCTTGCCTCCGACCGCCACGGTCAATTGTGCCGCCCCTTCAGTGCAGCCCGACATCGCCCACCACAACGTTGTCAAGCTGTGAACTTCATATATTCTATTACGCTGTAACAGCTCAAACTTATCGGTAGTAAATATTTTTCGTTTTAGCTTGTTATATATCATTGTTAGTTTCACAGTTTTAAAATAATTTGCCAAGTAGAAGTTTCTACGTACTTATAAGAAATACTTCGTTCCCCTTTCCAATCCGATCCTACACGATCAAATCGAAAAAAGTGGGAAAAATAAGTAAATAAAAATGACATAGAAGAGCTCATATTCCAGATAAATGAAAACATGACTGAAATGGCCCCGGTCACTTTTCGAGACGGAATGGAAGAGGGGAAGAGATTCTCAAACGAGGAAAATAATTCAATGACTTCAAAACAGTTGAACGATAAGGCGTATGAGGCGAAAATCTCATGTACGATTATGTCGAGTGGTAGTAAGGACGACTTATCTGTCAATTTTTCATAAATAATTGACAATTGAAATCGATAAAACGGGCAATGCATACTTGAGGCAGCAACGAGAAGTCTACGTCAGTCCTTACCATCTTCTATGATATTATTAAATGCTCAAACCTAATTATATCCAAATTATTTATTTTCATTGAAGTCAATAAATTATGGGAATTTAAAATCAAACAAATTTACGATTAAAATCATTAGCTAACTATTTCATTCGCATTCAAATGATTTAAATCTTAAAAAAAACGACAGCGCCATCTGAAATCTGAGCAAGCACAGACCACAGACCACAGACCACAGCTGGCCATTCAAAAACATGCCTGAAACCTGAATAATGAATCTCGTTGATTCCGAGGATTCCCCTAAACAACACTCTTCACCCATCGCTTTCAATCATAAGATTTTGTACTAATCTCAGCCGTTCATCACTCCACTTGTCATGATCAAAACAACTCAAATAATAATAATAATCATATCATTTTTATTTATTTATTTGTTTTTTTTTTTCTTTTTATTTTATGATATGACAATCATTTGCTGATTTAAAGACTATTAAATTAAATACACATTTATTATTTGTAAAAAAAAAAAGACCAATCAAACTAACTCTTCCTAGTTTCCAAATAGGATGGTTCTACAAACATCTTCCTCCATATCCAGCATTCTCAAATAATTCTTGTTTTACTTCCTCAACCGGTCTCCGCTCCGTTCCCTGTTTCATCGAACACGAAAATTAGTTAGCTTTAGAATTCAAATAAACGTTTTCACTTATGAACACCGATACCAATCTACGTGAAGAACCTAATTTTTTTAAGTCAATCGAACCATAGTGTAATGCTCGAGCTAAAGAAAAATCCTATTTTTTTTTGTCAAATTTTAAAAAGACGAACTTGAACATAGCTCGATTAGTTAAGAGAATTTGATTTAGACGTGCCTCGGAACAAGAGGCTTGAATTGCGAAGTCATTGAAGCAGCTAATGACACATTGCTGAATATCAAGTCCTAAAGCTTCAAGAGTGTGCACTGTAGATAACAACAAGCCAGGCTTAGCCGCACAGCAAATCTCAATCCGAGTGTCACCTTCTCTCCTTTCCACATTAAACTGCATTAATCAAACACAAATCAACAATTAAAACCCTAATCAAAGCCTTAATCACCCCTTAATCTCCCCCTTAATTACCTTAGGTGCATTTCTGACCAAATATTCACTCGGATTCTCAGCTCTCAAAATCCCAGTAGACTCCAATTTACTCGGGTTCGCCATTTCAATCTCCCTTTGCAAATGGTTGATTTTCTCGAGCAGTTCCTTCACGTAATCAATCGAATCCGCAAGAATCGCAGTTCTATCCATCTAATTATAAAATAATATGAGAATATTGACTAAAATCATCTTTCGATTATAAAAAAACATAGAAAATAAAGAAATTTAGAAATAAATTGATATAATATGATATATATGATGAACTATAATTTATGACTGAATATGGGTTTTAGAGGACTACGCAGTATGGCCACTGCAACTTGTAGCTCAATGCTTTGAACACGAAAGTGTACAGTTCCACCCTCTTCTCTCATGTTGAGTTACAGGCAACGCCTCGAAAAGCACGGACGATGTCCTTATGGGACGGACGTGTTTGAGACTGAGTTAAGGATCCTTGTCTCCTAGGTTGGGGCCGGCGCTATGCCGACTGCGCCAGCTGAGAGTAAGCTTGCATTCTTTTTTTTTTTTTTTTAATTAATTAATCGTCATAGTTAAACAAAATTATTTAAAATACCTTGCTGATTTTGGGGACGATGGATCGGAGCATGGAGAGGCGATCATTAAGCCTTTTCCTCCGCCGTCTCTCCGCCATGAGATTCTTCGACGGCTTCCCCTGAAGCTTCTTACTCGCCGAACCAACGATCTTTTGCCCAAAATCGCACGTGCCACCGGCGTTGAAAACCGGAGCAATTTCAGGAGAATAAGCCGGCTCCATTTTACAACTACCAAGAACTTCAAGATTCGGAATCTCATCCTCCTCTTCCATAACCGGACACCTGCCGAAACCCCCCGGCGTAGTCTCGAACGTAGTGTACGACATCGAATCGCCGGTACTCGGAGCCGCCGTGAACTGGCCGCCGGAAAAAGAATAGTCGTCTTCGCCGGCGAGAAGATAGCCAAAATCCTGGTGGTCAATAGGTAAAGAAAAGGGCAAAGAGGAAGAATCAGAGCAATCAAAATTCCAGGCATTTGCAGTGGAGATTAGGTCGTTAATTTCAGTGGGCATTGCTAATTCCCAATTAATTTCTCTTCTCAAGGCTTCAAGTTCATCTAACAAACAGTGTTCATTCAACTCCATTTTTTTTTTCTCTGAATAAAATGAATGGTGAAGTTGGAGAATATATAGAGAGCCAGAGGAGTATGAAATTAATTAATTAATTAGTTGTTTAAATCTTGATTAGTGTATGTGGGTTAATAATATTGATGTCTTTTTCACCGAAATCGCTGCAATCGAAGGGAAGGAAGAGAAGTTAATATTTTTTTATATAAATTGGAGAAATTTTGTTGACCAAATGAATTGAGAGATCGGAAACGAAGACCATGTCAGACAGGGTTCTCTGTATTTTGTATGCCCTAAAGACAAAACGCCAAATTACTTTTTTGCCCTTCCAATATGGTTTTAATTTCATCAATAAATTTTTAAAATGTTTTTTATTTTAATTTTAATTCAAAACATTACATTTTCCCTTATTTTTCAATATTTAATTATGGTGAGATCCCAACATTTTTTTTTTTGCAACGGTTCAGAAACCTCTCCCTATGTAATAACCAGATCCACCACTCGCAGATATTGTCTTCTTTGGATTTTTCCTTTCAAGCTTCCTCTCAAGGTTTTAAAATGCATCTACTAGGGAAGGTTTCCATACCCTTATAAATGGTAGTTTGTTCTCCTCCTCAACCAATGTGGGACTTCACAATCCACCCCCTTCGAGACCCAACGTCCTCACTGACACTCGTTCCTTTCTTCAATCAATGTGGGACCCCCTCTAAATCTACCCCCTTTGGGGCCCAACGTCCTTATTGGCATATTGCCTCGTGTCTACCCCCTTTGGGGAACAGTGAGAAGGCTGACACATCGTCCAATGTCTGACTCTGATACCATTTGTAACGACCCATATACCACCACTAGCAAATATTGTCCTATTTGAGTTTTCCCTTTTGAGCTTCTCCATGTGGTTTTAAAACGTGTCTACTAGTAGAATGTTTCCACGCCCTAATAAATTGTGGTTTATTCTCCTCCCCAACCAACGTGTGACATCACACCCCAACAGATAGATTTTAAAACCGTGAGGCTAACAGAGATACATAACGAGCCAAAGCAGACATTATTTTATATATATATATGTTAATTTTTCATTTGTTTTAAGATTAAAATGTTTGCAAGTGCTATTGAAAGAAGGGGATGGGGCCGTATGGCATCCAGATAGGTCCAAATAATTGTTTGCTGCCACGACCATTTTTCAAATAGAGTTGGTGGGCCGTTTTTTTGTTCGTTCATACTCTTTTCTTACCATTTTGTTCTTAGTGCCACCCCAATTTAATTTTCTGAACTTCATTAATTATCATCTTAAATATTCATTTTTTTTTAATTTTATGTGCCAATTAAATAGTTACTAAATAAAAAAAATATTAATAAAAAAGATAGGGTCATGGATGAGTGACGAGGTTTAATAAAATTAGAAGAAAAAAAAAATTACCGATAGAGATGATAGCTATGCTGATCAAATCTATTCAACCCGCGTAATAAATGAGTATCTCGTCGTGGCTCATTTGATCTTTTAACATTAATTTAAACATGCATTTTTTTATTTTCATTGCATGTCTTAATCAAACAAGCAGCACCGTCGTTATCAATTTGACAATTTCAAATTCATACAATATAATTTTAAATCTAAGATTTTATTACATACATTGAATCAAATTAACTAGTTCTCTACTCAATGTGTGACGTGACAAAATCGTTGACCATCTATGTAATATATATATATATATTTTTGTGTGAAAATATTTTCTTAATTTTTTTTCTACATAATTTAAATATGTTTTTGATTTTCTTGGTGGTATGATTTGGATTTTTTTTTTTTCGAATTTCAAATAAATACATAAATTTTCCTCGGGAATAATCGCTATCTATTTAACTCTTCCTTTACTATCACAATAGAGAGACGGTAAAGGAGAGGTAAATAGCTTTACCTCGTTCAATCAGATTCGAAAATAGAGTTTTTGGTTCAAGAGTAAACAAATCTACGGAAAGAACGGAATTAGGTAACCTCATGCTCTCAACTACTTTACCTAGTTACTTTCACCTATTTACCTCGTTCAATCAAAGAGATAGTAATTTTGTGATATATATATATTTATTTATTTATTTATTTATTTGTACACCAATTAATTTTCTATTATTCTAAATATTTTTCACATTAAAAATAAAGTGGTTGGGTATTTTGTCCATTAATTAATCTGGGTTTCTTGTTAAGCTAATATTAGTTATTTGGTGAAGCAACTTAAAAAAAAATTAATGAAAAAATAAAAAGTGGGGCCATAAAATCTAGGGTGTTCTTAAAATTTTAGCAAAAAGCCAAAATAATAACACCTGGTTTCAAATGTTAATGCTGTATGCTAGCTGGTTTGCTCTATTACTAATAATCGGAATAATTAAAAAAATAATAATAAATTTAGACGAATTTTAAATTTATTAATTTAAAATAAGTTAATTTCTATAGGTATTAATAAGTTGATTAAAATATATATTTATACGCATATATATTATGTTCAAGTAATAGTTTATTCACTGTCGTGTATCGTATTTATAGCTGTCGAGAAAAACCCTTTCTATAATAGTAATAATAAAATAAGAATATAATATTTATTAGTTTTTATCGTGTAATAGTGTTGAGAATGAGAAATAAAATTAGATCGAAGGAATATATTCTCATTGATATTCATAACTTTATACAAGCTATACACTAATACTTTAAAATAAGAAAAATATAAACTAATTAAAGAGTGAGAATCAAATAAAATATACTATCTAATTAATATCTAAAAATAAGAAAAAATATAAATTAATTAAATATTGAGAAGAAAATAAAACATACTATCCAAAAAAATATAAATTAATTAAATATTGAAAATAAAATAAAATATACCACCGATGATAAAAAATATTAAGATATAATATCTAAAACATATTTCATAACTAATATATTTTCTAAATATTATAGAAATGTAATTTATAATTCTATTGCTAGCAAATATGTTTTCACACTCTAAGTCATTCTTCTCTTCATTTAATGTGGGATCTCGAAATGCACGCGAGTCCAGTGTCATTGTTAGCATTCGTTCCCTTCTGATATGGGACCCCTCAATCCATTTCTTTTGGGACTCGATGTACTTCCTGGCACACTACCTCGTGTCTAACTCTTTGGGGTTCAGACTCCTCGCTGGCATATCACCTTGATATCACTTTGATATCATTTGTAACGATTTAAGTCTATCGTTAGTAGATATTGTCTTCTTTTTACACTTTATTTTAAATTTTTTAAAATGCGTTTGGGAAGATGTGTGCCATGAATTGAATAACTAACTATTTGTTTGGTTTAAGGAAAAATAAATAAATAAATAAATAAATAAGCAAAACAAATGGCTGAGTGAGAAAACCCATTAACTCAATAAAAAACGAAAACAAAAACATACGGCTGACACGTGGCCCAATACACATAACCTTGACATCCACCCAAAATTCTCCCATCAAATTCCCTATTTATTTTATTCATTTTACCTTAATTTATTTTATTTCATAACAATGATGTATATAAATATATACACATATAGTCAATAATACATTGAAACTTGAACCTACCACCTTTGTAGAGATAATGAAATTGCGTGATGTCTTCAATTATGTTTCTTTTCTTTAATTTTATTTATGAGATTTTGAATTTATCATATTATATATATATATATATATATATATTATCTATAAGAGTCCATAATTTTATATAATATGATACGATTTTTGTGTGTAGTATGTATAGCCTTCATTTGAGATTGATTTTTGCCTTGGATTATGTTGTTTATGGACAATTTAAAAGCTTGTATTATATTTGAATATACATATAAATTTATATGTATGTATGTATACATGCAAAATTGGAAAAAAATAATTCTCACATGCACGCGCGCGCACACTTAACCATGGAAACAAAATCTCTAATACATTTCAATCCCCAATTATTGTGGATAAATTACAAGTTAAAAAATCAATAATTTTTCTATTGGTATATATATATATAGAGTTAGAACAATTAATTTCTTAATCGTGGATAAATTATAAGTTAAAAAATTAATAATTTCTATATATAGTTAGAACAATTAATTTTAGTTTAATGGTAAGACGTTAACATTATGAATTATAATAATGAAAATATGATTTAGTTTGGCATTTCATATAATTAAATATATTTTAACTAATTATTTTGGAAATTACATTAAATTACAAGTGGTAGGAAACCATAAAAAAAATATTTTGTTTATATATAACTAATTTTGTAGTTTTGTAAAGGCAAATTGGATGATTTAATAATTTGCAATATTGAAGAATGTCAAGGTTGCCGCAATTATAGCTAAAAACATATTAATTAATTAATATAATATAAATAATGGTGGAATGGCCCAGACAAATAAATAAATTAATTAATTTTTAAAAATGTTGTGGAAGGAAAAGAAAAATCCATAATAGTCGTCATAATTTGTAATGTAACTAAAATTCTCAACATCCCAAAGATTTTATTTTATTTTTTTAATTTTATTTGAAATTGACATCTGCAAGATTGGGGAGCTGTAGGTATGAAATAATAAATAAAAAATAAACGTCAATTATTATTGACACCCTGGCTGTCCTTTAAAATGTATTTATTAATATATATATATATATATATATATAATATTTTCGTTTCTACCTGATTATAAGCTAACTAATAAAAATACTGTCTCCGAGTATTTTTAAAATTTTAAAATTTTTAAAAATATTTTTAATTAAAAATTTTAAAATATTTTTATAGTTAGTATGGTCGAAAATATTTTTTTAAAAAAATACTCTTGAACTTTATCGATCTTATTAAGTATTCTATTTTTATTTATTTCTTAGCTTTAAAATATCTTTATTATTAATTTCATGTTTAAAAAACTAGCCATAATTTTTTTAAATAGTATTAATTTTCTTCATTTTTATAAAAAAATTAATTTTTTTTTATGGTTAATATATTTAAAAAAAAACTATTTATTTACCTCTCACATATCTCAATTAT